GTTGAAAGTGGCTTTCTATTTCGAATGTTTTGTTCGAATTTGTTCGAATTAAATTCGAACATAAAATTCGAATATTGGTTCGATTATAGAACGATTGTAAACGTTCCAGAAACGTTGAAAATAGTTCGTTTGACTGGACGTGAACGGGAGACGTTCAGAAATAGAATCGGGACCAGGTCTCTAATTAGTCTGGAAACGGAGGACCTAATTCTTGCATTCTGTGAAAACGGGTAAGATTAGCTATAATGCAATTATCTTAATCTTCACTATCGTTACTTTTTGCCCACAAATAAAAACCCAGCGAAGCGTGCCCTTGCAGCTAGTTAAATATAAAATTTATTTCCTATTGTTGATTTTAAAGTATTCTAATGCACAGGGAAGTAAATAATATTTACGCCAAGCTTTCGAGTTAATCAAAAGCCTTAATAAATAAATAAAAAGCAGAAATACTTCGATAATGTTCTTAAAATGAGTTTTATCACATACGTTCTTGAAATTTACGATTAATAACGCCAGTTATAGCAATTAATACGACGGGTACTTTTATAAACCCGGCCAATGCCTGGTGTACTAAGCTAGAAATCCAATAATTTCATTATTTGTTTTAAACATTTAGAATACATTTTGTTTTCGTGAGAAGAAAAAACAAAGAAAACTATGATCAAGAATAAATAAGAAAGCATTAGGTTAAACGTTTTTATGTCGAAACGCATCAAAAAAAAAGAAACAAAATAATACAAAACTAAGACGTTAAAAAATAATAAACTCATAAAATAAACCGTAATAATCCAAATCATAAAGATATGGCGAAATGTCTCTTAGCCAAAACAAGAGACAAATATTTGTCTTCGTTATTTTGCCGCAACTGCACTAGAATTTTGAATAATTACGAAAAATAAACAAAAACTTACGTTCGCTTGGATAATTTACATTTTCTATTAACGAGAAAATTATTCAAAAAATTGCAGATAAATTAATTCTGAAAATTATACTACAGCATACATTAAAATCAATTTATTGATGCATTTGATGAATAAATTAAATAAAACTTCTTATGTAACCTATAAAACGCGAAGGATCATCTATTTTAATAGAAAACATTTAAATCATTACACACAGTCTTTCTCAAAATAATGATTAATAACTAATTATCTCTTCTTGGAATATAACCACGAACGTTTCAAAAATGTCTCCACAAATTACAGATTTTAATATTAACGACTTAACTCATACGAGAAACAGTATAAAATTTCTTAACTAGTTTGTTCAGCAAATATATGTGCAAGAAGAATTTCTCAGATGCATTTTATTAACTACAGTATAAATTTTGTCACAATTGTATAACACGAATACACTAAGGTAATTGCATTGTTCGATAGTTGCGGTCATCTAGAAGCTTGCATAGATAAATTTGCTGCTTCTTACTACAGTGTCATCGTTTCTGTTTACTGCCGCATACAAGTTTCTAAATTTTAAACTGCGTTTTAGTTTTTATCATACCGGTACATAATTTTTTTTATTTAGATTAGTAAAATGAGCAAGAGAAGCACAATTGTAGAGATTGCAGATTGCACTCACAAGAAGAATATTTCCAATAACATCCATTACCAACTCAGACCCATAACTTCGGTGGCTAAAATATTTGGATTGGAACCATTGTTGCTATGTGCCTGCCACGATGGAAAGAACAGAAAGAACTTTGCTTATTACGTAAACGTTATAAAATTTTTTTTGTGGGTAATGGTAGGTCATACTTGTGTCTTGTTCTTTGATGACGAAGCGTTATGTGGAACCATATTATAAAATCACGATACAAACAAATACTTTCAAAGATTATATCGAATAATGATGTCATCAATTCATGCCATAACATTTAGCATATTGAAAAGAAATAAATTCAAGTGGGAAGACAACGAGATCGCGTATGGAAATGATGAAAACTTTCCTAAAAAAGTTAAATTTATATCAATACTTTTTCTTTTCTTACACTTTTTTTCAAATATTATAATGAGTCTTAATTTAGACTTAAAGTATTATCTAAAAATTCAAAATTCGAGCAATTCTTCTTTAATTTCAATATGCTGTAGCACATTTCATTTTCACTGTCATTTAATCTGCTCTGGAGAAATTAATGTTATATTAACCTTACTTCTTATTATGTTCTTGTTTTTGTTGGATCAATTTCAGAATTTACAGATCGAGTTAGATTCGATCGACAGACACACTCGTCGCTTAAAGAGTAATATAGACGACATTATAGAAAAACACACAGATCTATGGAAAATCTTTCAGCAAGTGAATCAACAATGGAGCAATTTGTCGACAATTATATTCTTTCTCATCATTCACATAACTTGTTTACTACTTCATATGTTACTTTTTAACCACGAAAAACAATCTAATTGGTTACAGCAAAAAGTTCACTTTGGTTCTTTTTCGTTGTATTCTGTTTAATATGTGTTATAGGTTCTTTTGCATTGTCTAGAATAACTTCTTCGGTAAGTGGAAGTGATTATTTTTTATGCATAGCGATTTTGCTTTTATTTAACATTATATAAATCATCAGTTTTCGTATATACACAGTAAAACTGTGTTAAAAGCTAATAAAATAATTTGTTAGAATTTTCTACATTATACTACACTTTAAAGTATAGATATTGCTATTCAAAACTAACTTTAGATTTTTTATTAAAGATATTTTACATGAACTGTATAAACGTGATATATTAAGTGGCTGAAATATCAGTTAACCGGGTTATAAATTTTTTTCATTTTCTGAACGTACAGATCTTTTAAACTGATTGAATCGTTCAGCCATTTTGGAACAGCTATGTGTTGTTTGTGATTCGGTCACCATCAATGAAACTACGGTATCCCGATTACGAAACACTTGCAAATATTTCAAACGGAAATTCGTCAAATAATTATAAAAATAAGAAAAGTTGTCGGTTATCTGATTTAATACCATTACACATTTTACAATATGGTATGTTTTTATTTCAATATAAATTGCTATTTAAACACACTATACTCAAATTAGATGAACCGTGGTATATCAGTACTCGTGATGTCATAGATAGGAAGTTCTTGTTTCTAGCCAAAGATAATCATGATTTTGTTCAAATTCATTATGACAAGCAATGACTAATTTTGTATGGTTTAGAACAAATATCAAAGAATTTTACATAAACGTTAACAAATTATGCTATAATAAACCGTACAATATCCTGATATTTGATAAAATAACCATAAATTTATGATAAATATTATACAAGGTGGACCAAAAAGAATATACGTATTTCAAACTGATATATTTATAAAACTATCGATAGTAGCGGTGTGCTGCGGGTATCGGAGGAACGAGTGCATTGTCTAGTTTGTCCCCAGATGTCAGTTGTGCTTGGTTACAATGACGTATTCACAGTTGTTGTAAAATGGCTACGCCACAGCACAAAAGCTTTTGTATTCTTGAGCTTGCGAAGTGTAATTCCGTGATTACAGTGCAAAGACGTTTCCGGTTAAGGTACGAAATTGATCCTCCGAATGGATGGAACATTCGCAGATGGTACCGTCAGTTTGTTGACACAGGTTGTGTATGTAAAGGAAAGAGTCCTGGCCGACCTCGTGTATCTGAAGAAAATGTCGCACGGATTCAAGCTGCTTACCAACGTAGCCCTTCAAAATCAACACGTCGTGCCAGTCGGGAATTGCAGCTGCCTAAAACAACAGTTTGGCGTGTTTTGAGACGCAGGTTAGTTATGAAGCCCGGACCGAACTCCCGCCCGGACCCCGGTTCCCGGACACCCGGACGGAACTCCCGCCCGGACCGTTCGTGTCGCTGGTGGAGGACATATTGAACACCTGTAATCTAAACTAGAGAGTTTCATAAATATGTGTCCCAAGTTCCATAGTTGTATGTCTTACAGTTTATTAAATATATTAGTTTGAAATACGTATATTCTTTTTGGTCCACCCTGTATTTTAATTAATCGTAATACGTTACTAATTTTTCAGATTTACAGCAACTACAACAGCATTCAGAAACTCTCATCATCAGAATTCAGCTTAACATACAAATTAAAGGTATGAATTGATATTAATTGTGTATTTCAAAATTTTCCAAAATCTTTGTTTCTTTTTGTTTAGATTTTAAATTTTATGAAGAGATTTAGCGGAATGCCTCTTGGAATTTCTGTGGGAGGATTCTTCTTCTCGGATAAAGATTTACCTATTAAAGTAAGCCAATTCTTGTCATTCGCAAGACAAATTTTTATTATTTATTCAATCATTACTTGATTTATCGACGTGCTATTGTTACTTTCAGGCTATAGATGCTCTTTATTCTGTTTTCACAACTCTTCTGAAATTAAGAGATCTCTCCAGAGAGAGTAGGTGTCTACCAACAACTGCATTGAATAACACATACGACGAACTATGGTCATACATACGAACTGCATGAAGTGTGTTCATATTTATGGAGAACGAAATAGGCCACGTCTATGTATTCAAAATAATGTGATCGTTTTCATCATGTTTAAAGACGAATATTGTAAGTATAAAATCAAAGTAATTAATAATTGTTATATCCTTTGTATACCTAATAAGACCGAAGAAAATTAATATCAAGAACATTGTATTTCCATAAAAATTTCGTACGTTTTCGATCAAGCCAATAAATATATGTATTTAGTGCCTGTTATCGTTTATATGTATTTAAATTCTGAAGCTTAATTGATTAATGTCGTCGAAAATATATTTCGTTCAATTAATATCCGAATACTCAATAATATTAAGTAACGAAAACTTGAATGGAATGATAAAGAACTATTTACAGTTTCTTTTGTAAATTAATCCTTTATTAATTAATTAATTCTTGAAAAACAAATTCGAGTTCTACCAAATAATTTTACGAAATATGTAACAACTTAAAGGTATACGCAAATTATTCTATTGCATTTTACAATACAGTTAGTACTTTAGTAGAAAATTACGTGTGTAATATTTGTATATAAGATAGCTACAAAGACAACTATCATTTGTTACAAACTGTTAACTTAACAATTTATCATAAGCCTAAATGTTTACTATAGTATTAAAAGTGTGATTATTTAATAGTAAATTTAATCATTTCCATAACTTTTTTTATAGTGGAACAAGAGAAATTTGCAAATGTCTCCTTTATGACTGATTTCACCAACCTTGGTGAAAACATCACCCGAAGCACTGTTTGGTAACGATAATAGCGCTAAGGTTTCGTTAGAAAGCCATTTCACGGACATTCTTTAACTCGATTTAACGAACTTTTTTCGTAATTATCTGATGTATAAGATGTGATACGTTCATTCAAAACATTATCATAGCTGTATCACGTCACACAATGTTGTATTATTAGTTAAATGCGTGCAAGTGTAGAAAATTGATACGAGTAAAAAGTTTAAATTATGAAAATTTAGAAAGTGCGTTTTTATTAATTTCATTAAAAGTTTTAAAAGTAGAAAAATGTGCCAATTAATGATTACAATTAATTGCAAAAAAAACTATTACCGTCTAAAGTAAAAATGTTTTTGTAGTTCAGTATTTTTTTAATGTAGTCGATACACGACAGCTGTTCATTACACTCTACTTATTATGTTTTGAATATGCATAAAAACTAACTACATAAATAAAAATATATTACACTTATGTAAAAATATTTAATATGAAAGTATTTTATTAAACTTAAATACAAAAGAAATAATGACCAGTTTCATTATCATTCGTTAAAAGTTGCGTTAAATCTGAAGATAAAGCTGCAAGTGTTTCATCAAACTTTGTTAACGATAACAAAGCGTTAAATAGACAACTTGGAACATTAAAGTTTATAGTGATTAAGATAAAATTAAGATGATAAATTACGATGAATACGATGAACAATTGTCGTACCATAACCCATCATCTTGATTTTATTTTAACGAATTATTAGAAATTATAAAGTTTGATAAAACACTTTCAGCTTTACCTTCACATTTAACGCAACTTTTAACGAAATTTGGGGAAACTGATGATTATTTCTCTTAAATTTTACTAAGAAGTCGTAAAATTGTATTGTGGCAATCTTCACATCATCTACACATTTGGCACAATCAAGATGAATTTATGGAAACTATCAGTGGCGATCCATGGAAGCTGTGGAAGCCCCGCTACCCTTGTGTTTTCTAAAATACAATTACACATTGTGCGATTATTTTCGTATTTTAACGTACTTTGAATTAATAAAAATTAATATTTTATCATAACCGCATCATTGATTTTATTACCTATTTATATACGTGTGAAAAACAACGATAAGATTGAAGCCGACTTGCAGGTTGATTGCGCATCATACTGACGGGCAATCAACTGATTGCCCCTGCAAGTCGTCTTATTACAGAAACACAGCTTCCCTATCATCAAATGTCACGGTTAAAGTTTACTATGTTAGTCCCAATGGCTGCCTCCTGGTCGATGGACTTCTCCCGGAGGGGAGTCGCCGCAGGCCGCCGATTGTTTAATGTCATTACTTATTGACTCAAGGTAGCTCTTGAACATACGAAAAATGGTTAAATATACCTTTCTAAATTTTCAAGAATTACCGTGAATCAATAACTAGTGACTTTAAACAATCGGCGGCCTGCCGGCGGCTCCCGTCAGGAGCACAAACAGTGGTGACCATTGGGGTTACCATAGCCAGGGACGAATTCTCTGGGCTTGCTTAGCGTGCGCCGCATGCTTAAGAAAAAGTTTTGACTGTCAATATACTTTTTATATGAGAACAAATATACCAGTAATAATTTATTCTAACGTGTAAACTCTTTTTATGATTTGTAAGAAATACAAATCATAAAAAGAGTTTACACCTTAGAATAAATTATTACATTGGCAGCTAGCGGCTAGTCGTTTTAAGTCAGTGCCATGCTTGCGAGAACTCGATCGCTGGCTCTTGTGGAGGTTTGCCACGGCAAACAAGTGCTCGCGGTACCCAGTCAGCATACGTGTATTGTGTACAGAGGCAGATCTACAAAGACATTAATAGGGATTAAGCCCTGGGTCACCAGTATCAACGGCCCACAAAATTTGAATCATTATCATAAATTTTTAATACTTTATCATTATAATATATTTCATGTGTAAATATAATGGGCTTTGTAATAGTCCATACTTTTTTATTCACACTAAATAATGTTTCTGCGTATTGTTTAGTGCTAGAGATAGGCCTATCATTCTTATTATAACTTTCAGCGTGGCCAAAAATTTTGGTCAAGATTCGCCCCAGACTATAGTAAACTTATGTCCCTGCAAGTCGGCTTCAATCTTATCATTGTTTTTCACACGTATATAAATACGTAATAAAATAAATGATGCGGTTATAATAAAATATTAATTTTTATTAATTCAAAGTACGTTAAAATACGAAAATAATCGCACAATGTGTNAGTCGGCTTCAATCTTATCATTGTTTTTCACACGTATATAAATACGTAATAAAATAAATGATGCGGTTATAATAAAATATTAATTTTTATTAATTCAAAGTACGTTAAAATACGAAAATAATCGCACAATGTGTAATTGTATTTTAGAAAATACAAGGAAAGCGGCGGTTCCACAGTTTCCATGGATCGCCACTGATAGTTTCCATAAATTCATCTTGATTGTGCCAAATATGTCGATGATGTGAAGATTGCCACAATACAATTTTACGACTTCTTATCGCCACTGACTATAGCAGTAGCGTACCATGACATTGGTAGCAATGTCACGGTACGCCATTGCATTTTATAAATCAAAAATAATAATCTACTTACATTACTGAAGTTTACTTAATCATAATTCTTCCTGGAAATGTCCAGATTTTTCGGAAAAATTTCTGCTTAAAGATGGGGACCGACAATAGAAAAATCGAACAATTCGTTAATTTCGAACGTTCGATGTTCCCGCAAATACGTCACGCGTTACGCCAAAACAAGATATTGATTTAAAATATTTCACTTAAAACGTTAAAAGCATTGTTTTTCTAATAACTAAAATTATAAAAATGAAATGTAAAAGTATCAAGTACTTTACTTAAAGATAGATCCTTATAAATCTTCTTTAAGGCGGCCATCCGTGTTAAGTTAATCCTTTGAAGCTGCCTGACCTTGAGAAACTTCAGAATTTCCTATCGCCCATACACGAAGAAGAAAATCTCTCAGCAGAGGCGTAGCTAGGGTGAGGCAAGTAGGGCACGTGCACCGGGCGCCACTCGCAGACGGGCGCCAAATGGTCTCCAAGACAAACAAGATTTGTTTCTGAAGGGGGAGGGGAGTCGCCAATATAGTGTCGTGCCGGGGCGCTAGTTATGTTCGCTACACCCAGTGGCGTACCGTAGTGGGGGCGGCAGGGGCGACCCACCCCGGGCGGCACTTTATAGGGGGCGGCAAAATTACCTTTTAGGGGGGCGGCAAAATTTCACAATAAATAATAATAATATCTTGTAAAAATTTGAACCATCCTAATCTATATTTGCGGCGCGCCTACGATAGTGCTATCGTCCGGACAGTCCGGGAATCGGCTCGCCGTCGGGGTGAACTAGTAATTTTTTCATCCGAGGAAATCCTGCGTAACCTGTTAACGTTTCTTTGCTTGTACGATTCATTCGCGTTCATATACACTACTAATATCCAATAGAGCTATTATAAACAGGTCGCTGCACTAGCACGGAATTTTTCATTGCTTGTTCTGTGATAAGACTAAATTTTAGTCTTTTAAATTGAAATACCTAAATACGGGGGAGGAATTTTCCTCCGCCCCGGGCGGCTGACACCTACGGTACGCTACTGGCTACACCATCGTCTCTCAGTCAGTCAGTCGGCCATGGCATCTGATGACGACATACTGGCTGTTCTTGGATGTTTATTGGCAACAAATTCTATTAAAACTGGCGGGAAAATAGCATGCATAGAAGTCTATGGTGTAAATAGTAGTAGTGGTTTGGGTAGCACTGATCATAAAATGAATTTTGTGCTCAAACGTTCAGTTCTGAGGCCGCTGAGTAGTGAGAACAATGTCTGGTGAATGTTTGTAAGAATTATTTTCTATAACCTTATTAACTTTTATTATTTATAACCTAAAAATTAATTTTTTCAGGTTATAAATTATTTTCAGGTCAAAAATTTCTTGAGTAAATTAAAATTATAAATAATTTTAATATTTAGAAAACTTCTCAATTCATTTCTTCCATTTTCATAAAACATCTCGATACTCTTTATTATTTTCTTCTACATTTTAAAAAAATTTATTGTTTTAATATCCAACTAAATTAAAACACGACAACTTAAAATAAGACAAAGTTTAATAAATTCTTTTTAATTATTAAATTATAAAATTAATTTGCGATAATAATGCGAAAATAAATAATTTTGTACTAATATCGGATGTGGTTGAAAATTATTAATATATATTCGTCTATAAAATTTAATCCGTGAATTTTTT